TCTGCTAAGTCAGTGACTCTCTCCAATTCATTTTCCTGCTCTGTAATGGGAACAGAGGATCGAACCCCAGCCTGCATTAATGAAAAAACAAACAAAAGCAGGAGTTCATTAGTGATGAAAGTTGTATTTCCAGCCAATTATTTATTTGCTTTTGCCTCTAAAGAGCCTATCTATGCATTGCATAGGAGCCTGTTGGAAGCACCTCCAGTAAAAGTCTTTGGTCAATATGTTTAAACTCTTACCACAATAAACAGCAAGATTAAACAACATATTCACTTGGCCTCATCACCACCTCCTCGCTTGTTCCCGTGTTGAAATCTGGAAAAACTCATCACCCTCGCAGTTTGTCCCAGAGTTCAGCAAATTCAGGCCCTGTTAGTCCATGACTTAAAACAAATTTCAGAATAAAGGCCCCAGGAGGATGAGCCAACTGCAGCCCTCAAAAAACTATTTGAGTGAGCACAGATAGAGCCCTTAGACAGACTCTTAGCTGTCGGTCCTGAACTCAGAGGGGATTTCCAGGATCTGAGGCATTCAAGTGACTTACACTGAACTTTTTAGTTTTACTCCACTCTTGAAAGTTATTTGGCCTTTGGGCAAATCACTTCAGTCTTGTTCCACGTGAGTCCTGCAAACAGCTTGGCATGGATGGCGAAAGGGTGATGACACTAGCCAGCCGAGGAATTGCAATTTCAGCATCCTTCCAGCCCCTGCTACTGGTTCAAGGTGCTCATTGAACAAGACAGGTGCAAAGTACCTCTGTGAGATTTGGTAGCCATTGACAGCATACACTGGTCCACTATTTTGTCTCTATCAACAGACAAATCCACTTCAGAAGCTCTCTAGACCTACAAGCTCTGCATCTCAGCCGATGGAAAGTACCTTCACATTATTACAGTCACCCTGCATCCCCCTCATTATTTATGCCTGCATTAAGCTATGCAGTCACTGTAAGCCCTTGCATGTGTGGAAGTCCCTAGTGCACACAGTGTGCATTATTTTAAGCCTGGAAAGAACCGAGAGACATGGGGCTTTTTTTTCTGCCAGAAGCTGTACCAGCCAGCGCTGCATCAATAACGGAAGTACTGACTAACGAGCAAGGCACTCTGAAGGCACTAATTATGCCAAAGAAATCAACAAACCTTTCTTGATTTTTCTATCACATCATGTACAGCCTGCACGATAAAGAGACATAAGTAGTCATACAAAGTGCAATCAGATCTGCTGTTTGTAGTGTCCCAGGGAAAGGTGATGGCTAAAGGTATCAGATGGAGCTTGGGACCTACTGCTTTCCATACTGCTGCAGACCATCTGTGCCATTCCATCTCTGTGGGATAGAGGCCACCAGGGCTGTTAGCATCCCCCCAAAACTAACAGCATGACTGAAAAGAAAACTTGGGTCTCTACTAACTCTGCTTTCTCTCTGAATTCCCCTCAGGTTTCTCAAAAGCTAAACACGGCATCCAGCTAAATTTGCACTGTACATCCCTGGCCGCTCTGGTGCCCTATGCTATGTAGGAGGGGACATGGCTTGTGCAGGCAACCTGACAGGCTGCAGCACAGTTCAGCACACACACTGATATTGCTAAGACCAGGCTTTGTGGGGACAGAGGGTTCCATGGTGTGCAGCCACACGGCTTCCCTGCGAGCCATCCTGCCTCCCGACCAACTCCGGACCAGGCCCTAGCCCAGGTCTGCAGGCAGAAACGCAAGCTCTCTGTTAAATTCCCTTTCAAGGTAAAGACATAGGATGACTGTTGAGGGATCAACAATGTTTTCCAGCCCAGAAGCCACACTTCTTCCCCCTGCATATTAGCTACCGCCAGTCCCGAGTGAGCACCTTAAAAAGTTGGGTTTCCTGCACAAAGCAAAAACTTTATTTCCAGCACTTCCCACTGCCGCCCCCCCACCCCCCTGCACTGACTGCCCAGCTCACACAGCAAAACCAACAGCACCAGGGAAAGGGTGCTACTTCTGACCCTTGTTTGGTGCTAGGGATGCCAAGACAGAGTGGCAATGACACTGCATTTTCCTTTTGTGCAGAGCCAGGCCACCTACGCCATGACTTAGCTCAGGCGCCGCAGGTCTAAGGAGAGGACAGAGTTGGTCTGTTTCGCTGCAGGCACCCTGCCAGGCTCACCCTACTCACAGCTGCTGCAATGCCAGGTTTCTCTCCCCCTGGGGGAAGCAACCCTGTGCCTCCTTCCCCGGCCCCAACTACACTCCCACGCCACCACAAGCACCTCTGGGCCCTGCTACTGCAGGGACAGGGGCACAGGCTGTCCCAGAGCCCCCCGCAGCAGCGCCCTGCCCAGCTGGGAGCTGCAGGACCTGGGTGTGTCTACGGGTTTTTGCAGCACTGCAGCAGCAAAAGGGATTCAAGAGCTCAGCCCAGGTATCTGCGAGGCTAAGCCTGAACCAGAGCAATGTTACCCCCTTGCAGAGAGAAGCAGACCTAATACTTGCTATTCCCCTTTTTGCAAAACCAGTGTCCAAGGCTAAGAATCTCATTGAGAATAATAATAAGGCCAAAACTCTGAAAACATTTGGACACTGCCTCACTTTTTGCCAGGAGCATCTCTGTACATAATTGCATTCCCATGCAGTACTGGGAGCCTTCCTGTCACACAGGCAGCAGGAAGCACGTGTAAGGCTGCCTGGTAGCACCTGTTTAGCATCTCCAATGACAACACAATTATTAATCATTAACATCAACCACATTAATATCCTTAAGACTATTGCACACCTGTTCCCTAGCACCATCTGGAGGCAAACTGTCCTTCACCCAATTTTGTGGAAATGGTGCCTGTAGATCCAGGATAATAAATGGCTCTAAATACCCCGGGTCAAACATTCAGCAAAGATTCAGGTATTTGCTGCTCTGAATACACGTTGTAGTAGAGACAAACCATTCAATTTTGGTTGTTTGCTGCAGGCTGAAAACTGTTTAGGAACATACATTTAAACTTAATAATCTAAATCTAGGCAAAAAGCAGAACACAACTGTTCTGCTTAAGACAGAAAAAAAAAAAAAAAAAAAAAAAAAGACTCCTGACAATGTGGTTTTAAGAAATTGAGGAAGAAAATGTAGAGGAAACCAAGTTTAAGATGGGTATTGCTTACATTACAAGCTTTCGCTCCCTCCCCCAGTCTGAGAGCTGATACCCTCTCCACCTGCATCCTCCTCAAATCAGGAGAAAAAACCCTAAGCCCTTGCCTTGCAGTCCTACACCCCAGAAGGCAGACAACAGATGATTTCAGAACCAGGCATTACAAATAATTTTGCAGAGGGGTAAGATGCTCTAACCAGGAAGATGGGAAGAAGTCTAATCTGAAAAATCACATAGGCACCTGAGACATAGAGGACACGCTCCCAAATCTTAAAAGCCAAATGCTCTCACCATCGGCTGGTATGATGCATGATTTTGTACCTGAGGTGGTCATGGACTAAGTCAATACTTGCATGTTTTCTTCACTGAGCGAGTAGAACTCCCCCTAGGGAGACAAAGCCTCCACTTCCCTAATGGCCCTCAGAACAACTGAGTGTCATATATAACTCACCTCATTCATTGCTGGTTAATAGTCAGCAAAATTTTGATCAGTATTTCAACAGGCTCACATCCACACAGGTGCTGTGAAGGAGCACAAGATTCAGTTCTTAGGACACTGGCTAACGTAGCAGAATCCACAGCAGAGGTACCTCCAAGACCTCACAAAATTGGGCTTGTCACCCTTTCACATCCTGTATCTCCCGATACTGAGCAGTCAGAAGAGTAACTCCTTGAAATAGGACCAAACCCAGGCTTTTTCCTTTGAATAGGATTCAAAAAATAAAATATTGAAAAAATCAAAGCAAATCCTTCTCAAAACAGCCAATATCTGAGCAACTGTTAAGTTACTGTATACAAGGGGAAAGGAGAGAAGGAGCAGAAGGGCTAGAATTCTTTCTTTTCAGCTGTATTTTGAAGGACATCAGAGGTGTTGCTTCTGTACCACTCACAGAGCCCAGTGAACACAACGTACAGAGGCTGTCCGGCCAGCCAGGGTTTTTTAATGGCTCAGGAAGGGATGTGCAGCCTGCAAGTCCTAACAGGAGCTTTTGTATCATGAGTGGCCCCACAACCATGTGACTTTCAGTCAGTAGAAATTAAGGAATGAGAGGGACATTAAGCACTGCATGTTAGCCATCTCCCAGACTGGGAGCAGCTGAGCAATGAGTCTGAAAAAGTAAACTGACAATTTTATGGTACTCTTCTTTACAAAGTATTCATTCAGAGACATGAGAGATGCAAACAACCTGTCTTTATCGCATCCAAGAGATGACAGTGGTGCACACCAAAGGTCTTCAAGAAATTCCCCGTATTCATCCTATGCATCTATGTAACACTGGTCACTTCTTGAACTTTCCAACAGCAAAACTCCACTTTAAGACAAGATGCACATTGGTTTTATTAATTACACCACAAATAATAGTTTCTGCAACATCATATATTTCAGTTTCTGAATCTATACCCGAAGAAAGTTCCGAAGTTTGGGGAATACTTTCAGTGCATTCTGTGTAGTCACTTCTATAACTTCTTCAACTGGAATTCCTTTAATTTTGGCAATATATTCAGCAGCAATGTAAATATTTTTTGGTTCATTTCTCACCTGAAAACAAACAAACAAACAAACCGACCACTTTACAGATCCTTACATGTGACAGGTGTTTCAGATTCAGTAGTTCCTGACACAACTTCAGTCACATTGCGGCAGGTGTGCCACAGAAATGACATGTATCTATTCTTCTTGGATTATTTTCCCCTTTGCCCATTCCTGGAATTTCTTCTCCTTTCCCAGCCTCAGGAACATTGACTAGTTAATTTCAAAGTTTTCACTTGGCAACCTCTTTCCTCCCTTGTACCCATGCTTACATTACTTCACTCTTCTGTGCCAGTAACTGACGTCCATAAGGTGGGGCCTTGGTATAGACACGGAAGTCCCACCCCTCCATCATTTACCTGTTTTTCAGGCCCCAGAGCAGGAGAGTCAGTTTCCAAGCACATACTTCCCAGAGGTAATAGTTTCACAAATTTCTGCTTCTTGAAGAAAATAAGACAGCTATTAAACGCTTTATGCACTTAGACCTGTGGGAAAAAGTGTATGAAGGGAGGATATCCTCTGCATTTAAAAGCAATGTCAAAAGACTTTGGTTCCACTGCCTGCATTTTATCAACAACTTCAGAATAGCAGCAAAAATACCAGGAGCTGCTCAAGAACTCCTTTCAAAATCAGGATTATCCCGTTTTCTAAATATCTGAAGTACTATTATCTAAACACTGAATCCATTGTTACTTATTAAATCATGCAGTTATATTGCACAAAATACCCTATATTTAGAGTTGCCAATGAAATTTTAATTTGCTATTTTTCTGTATATATTTGTGTACCTTTTCCCCATCTCTGTTTTCACCCCTCAACCCCAGCTTGCTTTCCTTTCTCCAAGTTCCTAACCTCATCCCCATCTACATCCATCCCTCACACCCCCTCCACCTGAGTCATGCCTTTTCCTTTCTCACATTTCTTGAGCTTATCACAGAAAGTCATGATGGCGCAGGGTGGAAACAGACTGCTACCCCAAAATAAGAAGTTAGCATAGCTTGCAGCAGCCCAGAGTAGACATTAAAAGAGCAGTCTCACCAAATCAAGGGCTGAACCTGACCAATGTCATCTTTAAGCAATTTAGGTGCTTCTTTGCTGGGTGCACCTTGTAATAATCACAATTTTTTAAAGGTCTGTAACTTAGCCAATTGTGAGCAGATTTCATTTTGAACAGAAAGTGCCATAGCACTGAGATAGAAACTAGTCCTTTTCCACGTGTTTCCCTGCTCTAAAACAGTACAGTGACAGAAGCCTCCAAAGAAGAGTTCACCAGAAACCACATTAAAATGAGAAAAAAATGCCCTGTTTTCTTAATCCTTGTTTCTCAGGAATAGCTGAACTGTTTTAGCCAAAGTTTCCCCCCAAAAGTGGGGGCAAAAGCCCCAGGTAGAAATTTAGCCAAAGTAAAAATGTGTAACACTATAAGCAACTGAAACGTCTACTGAGAAGTGTCAGGTGACAGCAATCGTACACGAGTACTGCTAGTCCCACTTAAAACTGTACAGACTGAAAAAAAAAAGCATATTCTTAAGCTGCACAGTGAAAACAGTCATGTTTGATATCATGATAAGCTGTCAGCTACTACCTGCCATCCCCAAGCACTGAGAAGGGGCAAACCCCTTTAAATGTTACCTGTTCACTCCTTATAATGGATGGAGGAATGGAGAAGTAGTATCCAGCTTTCACCCCTTCCATCGCTACAGATGGCTTCCCATCAAATGCATGGAGCAACACCTTTGTAGCACCTCAGAGAGAAGAAGCAAACCAAATCATTAGCAGTGTCTACAGTAGGCCTGCTTCCAATGGGACCTCGGTCCCATAAAGCATGAATACAGAATCTCTGCACTAGTCCTCATGTACGCAAACTGACGTGAGGACATGGCACAAATGAAGAAATTCAGTTGACAAAAGCCATGATGGAGAAAATGCATTAAAAACATACCTTGTTCCTTCAAAAGATTAATGGTTGGTCTTCCAGCTGAGCGGGAATGAACATTTCTGCACAGCAAGGAGAGGCCTGACATTAGGAAATTCAGCAAAATAGGTTTTTTTTGTAAACACAAACGAACTAACAGCAGGTTGGGAAGAAAATAATTAAACTGTATTACACTTTATATCAGGAAAAAAATCTAGAGACATATATATGAATCATTTTAGCTACAGTGAAGATCTAGCAACAACATAGCAAGGACAGGACACAGAAGACCACTGTATTAAAATGCAAACACAGGGAAAATTCTGTAATTAAATCTCAAACTGGAGACTGACAGGACACTAATGCCAGTTTAATCCATGTAAGAAATGTTCTGTGGGCTCTTAGTAACTATAAATCCTGGGAAATATTTCCACATGTTACTGAGAATTGGCAAATTCTTCTACTAGTATAAACAAAACCTACAAAGGCAAATCCAGTCTTCTTGCTAACTCAATCTGCTTGATCAAAACCTGTCTTTGTCCTTCCTTCTGTTCATCCGTGCTAGCAAATCTGGGAGTGAAATCTAGTCCAACCTACAGCACAAGAAGAGAAGTGAAAAAATTTTACAGACTGAATGCTTGACTAAACCACAATACCACATATAAAGGCAAAAAATGTTTCAAAACTGCAAGGCATTTCGATATATATACACTAGGACTGCAATTAAAATGAGCTCAACTGTAGCTTAACTCAGAATGGAATCCATTCTCAACCATAAGCTTTTCAACTATGAAAGCATTTGTGGGCAGAGAGTTACTAATAAGTGTGTTTAACATTTTAATCTGTAACTGTTTTTTCTGGGGTTTTATATTCTATTGAATATTATTTCAGATTAAATCTCAAATCTGGACCTCCAATACACGTAAAAACTTCTGACTTGAACCCCTACCTTTAGTCCTATCCCTAGCAAAAATTACCCATTAATTCTGCTTTTTTTTTTTTTTTATTTAAACACTTTCAGGCAAAATGTAAAGTTTGTCAAGGCAGCCCCATTCAGAGTTACACCAACCAAAGTCCTTTATATATAGTACAGCATGGCAAGTTTAGCTACAAAGCTATGCCAATAATTGCTTTTTCTGCAGCCAGTGCAGAACCAGCCATAAATCCTCCCTGGTACCAACACCCAAAAGAGGGAGACCCTACCCTAAAGCTTTCAAGCCTCAATTAGTTTATAAACAAATGTAAGAGAAGACAACACACGGATACAGACAGATGAGAAAGGACAAGAAAAAAAGGACTGTACAAGTCAGTGAGGTATACTGAAATCATAGCTTAGCCTAGCTTCATCAGGGAGGAAGGCAGGAAAGATCTGAATGAGGACAACAATGTCACTCGACACTTCACTGTGCCAGAGAATAGGTCAAAAGACATTCTGGTATAAGACGATAAAGCATAATTATGCAATTCTTCCTACTAAATCCACCGGCATAAATGCCATCTATTTCCTAACAATGATAATGAAGGAAAAGAGGGAATCAGACAAATCCATGAAGGAAAGCACGTTAAGAGCATTACAAGTCAGACTTAGCTCTTGTTCAGACTGACAGCAATACTTATTGCATACACAAAACGCAGTATTCACTAAGTTTTTGAAATTCTGGTAACAGATGCTGCCCAAGCCATAGACATTTAAACAAGTTACGGAATTCTACTTACTTCTCCGATCCCCACCAATTTGTCTTTGTAGAGTTCTATAAGCGGCAATGCAGCATCCAGATCCTGCAAGAACAAATTAAAGATGCAACCCTCACTGCCCTTACAAGATGGAAAATGAACTCAGCATTATGATTAAATTGGAGTTTCCTTTGTTGTTCTTAAATTCTGTACCTTAACACTTACTATTACTGCGAGTTTTGCAGTCAAAACAGGTTCTAGAAACCTGCAGGATTTCCCTTTCTTACTTCATGACCCTTCATTTCAAGTTATCTTTCAACAGGAGCAGAAGAGGTAATTGAAACTAGGCCTATAAAAAGCCTGGTAATATTAAATGGCTGCAGACAGCTCTCCACGTTTTTCAGGCTAAGGGCACAAATGGTCGCCTTCCACTTCCCATGCTAACAAAGCGACATCTGCCAACACACAGGGGTGCTGTTCACTGTAAGCAAAGCACTCACTTGGGATTTTAAAACCCGTTTCACCGCAGTAATACGGCCAGATGACTCCAGTGGACAATTCTGCTTTAGGACTAACGTGGACAAATGGATGTGCTAAGAGACCCTGGGATTTGGTCCACTGGGTCTTCCGTATTACAGAAGCACAGAAAAAAATAAAAAAATCACTGGGCAGATCTGAAGTTAAATCATGCAGACCAGAGCATCCCATCGTCTGCTCTGAGTAGTCCCAGCAGCATCTTACAGCTGCGCTAACCTAACTTGCCTGTGTTTTACCTTCAAAGTAACACTGCGCTGCTCCTCTGGCGAAACCTCTTGAACCGGGTGAACTCCCAGGCACGGCAAAACGAACCCTGGGAATCTAAACACGGGGCAGGCATCAGCAGCGGGAGAGACCGCAGAGACAGCGGGTTTAAGGTCAGAAAGAGCGGCCGGCCTGACCGAGGAGGCGGGCAGCCGC